CCAACCTTCAGTCCGTCAAAGAGTTCATTCGCAACAGATTCACATGATTGGCTAGTCAGGTGAATCTTGTTGATAGTGTTTTCTGTTGAGTGGAAGCACACACGCACGCACGCGCACACGCACACGCGTGCACGCGCACGCGCGCGCGCGCGCTCAGGATCGGGCCCAGTCTCTGAGTCGGGCCCAGGCTCGGGTTCGTGCTTGGTCTCAAGCTCATGCTCGGGCTCGCGCTCGGGCTCTGGTTGTAAAGGTCCTGTGTGTTGTCCCGTGGTTGCCCCGTAGAAGTCCCACGGTTGCCCCGCGACTGTCCCGTGGGCCGTTCTGCGATAGTCCTTTGGATTGTTACCTGGGTTCTCCCGCGGGCCATTAGTTGTTCCACCCGCGCGTGCAAAGGAGAATGATTGCGTGTGTTGCTGAACGCATGAGCACGCCCAAACACGCGCAGGCTTGAATATACGCATGAATGTTTGTTGGCACCAACGAGAATATTGTTTAAACATTATCTTGGCGAAAGACCAAACCATATGCAGTTGTCAGTAACGCTATTGCGAGTATCGTGTTCGTTGGAGCTTCCTGCGGGGCCACGAAACGTATAAGCGGTGCCGAAATGGGCGCGGTGGTGCCATGCGAGCGCAGCCACTGGGACCTTCAATTTTGCTCCCTATAGGGGCCACGAAACGTGTGAGGGGTGCGCCGAAATGGGCGCGGTGGAGCCATGCGAGCGCATCCACTGGGGCCCTCGGTGGAGCTCCCGATGGGAACACGAAACGTGTGAGCGGTGCGCCGAAAGGGGCGCGGTGATGCCATGCGAGCGCAGCCACTGGGACCTTCAATTTTGCTCCCTATAGGGGCCACGAAACGTGTGAGGGGTGCGCCGAAATGGGCGCGGTGGAGCCATGCGAGCGCATCCACTGGGGCCCTCGGTGGAGCTCCCGATGGGAACACGAAACGTGTGAGCGGTGCGCCGAAAGGGGCGCGGTGATGCCATGCGAGCGCAGCCACTGGGACCTTCAATTTTGCTCCCTATAGGGGCCACGAAACGTGTGAGGGGTGCGCCGAAATGGGCGCGGTGGAGCCATGCGAGCGCAGCCACTGGGGCCCTCGGTGGAGTTCCCACTGGGGCCAGGAAGCGTGTGAGGAGTATGCCGCAATTGTTGACAGGTGCGGAGGGCAGAGGCAGAGATGGGAGGATGGGGAGGAGGGAGCAGCGAGAGGAACGCAGGGCGCTCTCTCTCTCTCTCTCTCTCGCTCTCTCTCCCGGCAAAACGAGGACCCAACACCACAGGATAGCTGGGAAGGACATATACCCAAGACATGTTTGCAAGACCTGAAGTTGACGCAAGCTCTTTGTACTGTGTAGTCCCGCTCGTGGCGAGCAGTGGAAATCCATACAACTCGTTGAAACTTGCGATAGGACGTGCACGGTTCTCGCGACACGAAGCAGGGTTTAGGATAATACTCGTAGAACGTTGGAATAAATGCTGAATGCTCTCTTGGAAAATGCGACGAGTAATATGTCCACCCGATCATTTCGCATGGGTAATGTTCGAGCGATATTGCGAGTCTTACCAGGTACCATCGGAAGAACCGCTAGTTCCCCGCGCCCCAGCCACGAGCCCACCTACAGTCCGTTAAACATACCACTCGCAAAACATGCACTTTACCGTAGGTATCGACATCCGAACGCTACCCACACTACGGACTATCTTGAATCGACGGGAGGCGGGGGCAGGGTTCGGATTCGCCCACGTGTTCCACGAATTGTTAGCCCTACGCCGCCCATCGGGTTGCCTGAATCGTTGATTGGCGAGGGCAGGCTTCGGATTTCGCCGCCAATTCCCCCCTCTTGGTCCGACCCAGTCGCCTGCCCTGGCGCCGGCTCCGTGCGCCCGCCCGCGGCCGCACGATGAGCCCCGCGGTGGGCCGGGGCCCGCGTTTGACGGCGCAGCCAGGAGGGGGGGGGGAGCCAAAGGAGCAAAGGTTCCAAGGGGGGAAGGAGGAGAAAAAGAGGGAGGGGAGGAGGAGGAGGAGAAGGAGGAGGAGGAGGAGGAGGAGGAAGAGGAGGAAGGAGACGGGCGGAGGGGCCGACACGCAATTCGCAGAAAACGAATGATCTAGCAACTCTAATGGGACGACGACGACGACAACGACAACGACGACGACGACGACGACGACGACGACGACGACGACGACGACGACGGCGACGATGGGCGTCCGGCAGAAACTGGCGCACACGACGCGGGCTCTGGGCACAGGAACCCTCTCTGTTGCCTTGAGCACACAAGTTGGAACATGTAAATGCAAGGGCTCTTTAGTGAAGACAAGGGGGGAGCCGTGGGTACCCACGGGGGGCCCATGCGCTCCCAGGCCTCCAAGGGCGCTCCCAGGCACCCCCAGGGCCTTCCCAGGGCGCTCCTGGGCGGGTCCAGGGCGCTCCACAGCCTTCCCAGGGGCGTCCCAAACGTTTCCAAGGCCTTCCCAGGGCGCCCCAGGGGCGGTCCCAAGAGCCGGTGCCTCCTTCTGGTGATGTCTTGGCGGTCCCGGGGCTCGGGGGGGCACGAGAGCCCGAGACTGGAGGATGTATTCTGTAGGTCAGGACTCCGTTCCCTCAGCTTCCGGGCGCCGTGGCGACGAAGGCCTCCCTGGAAGCCCCCCCCCCTCTTCACAAACAGGGACAACGGAGGGCCGCCAGGGGGCGCCAATTGCCCACCTGAGACCGCTCCTGGCCAGGCCCGGCATCGGCACGGGCCAGGAGCAACTAGGTTGACAGTTGACGCCCTCCGAGAAAAGGTTGGGAGGCAAAAACTGGGAGGGCCTCGCCGGAAGGATTGAGGATTGCGCCCCAGTGGGGAGATACTACGCCAAATTAGGCCGCGGATTCAGCGGGATCCAGCGGGACCAAGCCGGATTAAGCGGGATTAAGCAACCTCTCAAGAGGCCCCACGAGGCACGAACGAGGCAAGGATAGCCACCTCCAACAAGGCGCGTTCTCACCAGGTGATTTCGGGGCGAATCCAGCCGTGGCGACGAGGGCCTCCCAGGAGGCCCAAGGAGGCACACACGAGGCAAGGCCAGCGGACAACGGACAGCGGCATCGGTACCTTCGCCTCCTCTGACCCGCGAGATGGATACGGAAAAAAAATGGGTACGAGGCCCAACAGCAAGTGTTGTCAAGGACAGCGGACAGCGGTACATCGGTACCTTCGCCTCCTCTGACCCCCGAAGTGGATACAGAAAAAAAGTGGGTACGATGCCCAACAGCAAAACGTTGTCCAGCCGCCGTCGGGCGGGCGACCTCCTGCCTCAAGCGGGCAACGCCCGCGGCGACGCCGACGGCCATCACAGCTCCAACTCGGCAGGAACTCCTCCTCCTCCTCCTCCTCCTCCTCCTCCTCCTCCTCCTCCTCCTCCTCCATTCTCCTCCTCAATCCTCAATCCTCCTCCTCCTCCTCCTCCTCCTCCTCCTCCTCCTCCTCCTCCTCCTCCTCCTCCTCCATCCTCCTCCTCCTCCTCCTCCTCCTCCTCCTCCTCCTCCTCCTCCTCCTCCTCCTCCTCCTCCTCCTCCTTTCTCCTCGGCCTCCTCCTCCTCCTCTCCTCCTCCCCCTCCTCCTCCTCCTCCTCCGCCGCCTCCCCCTCCCCCTCCCCCTCCCTCCTCCCTCCTCCCTCCTCCCTCCTCCTCCTCCTGCTCCTGCTCCTGCTCCTCCTCGTCCTCCTCCTCCTCCTGCCGGTCTTCGTCCCCATTCATTTCCGTCATCATCCCGACCGTACTGACTGCGCGGCGGGGACCTATCGGAATTCGCACCCACCGCCTGGGGAACCGCTGCCCTAGGACCACAGGGGGCGGTGGGCAGGGATACCCATCGGTCGGAAAACGTCGGTAGAAACATGAAGTAGGAAGGCATTGAAAATGGATTGGGTTCCGTCCGCCCCCGAAGGAGGACGGGAAAGGTGAAGCCTCCCTGAGGCGACACGATAGGGGGTGGTAGGCTTTAGTCGGGCACGTCCCTCTACAGAAGGAGTAGTCAAAAATAGGAGAGGAAAAAAAGTCTGGGGACGATGCTTTGAGCATGTGTTGACGATTTTGGTGTATTCTTCACTATTCTTGATTTTTTGTCCAGAATTCCCCTGGAAGGTGAAGGCGCTTTCAAGTAGACTGGAATCTGGGAGTCCCAAACTGCCCACTTCCAACGACCGATGGGCACAGCGAGGCCCCACATGGGCCCCGAGGATCTGTCCCTGCGCCATGCCCGCCGCCCGCCGAGGCCCCTGAGGGCGCCCGATCTCCGAGGCGGTGGCTCGAGTCCGTGCTGCACGGTTCGCGAGAACGCCCGAGATGGACCAGACGACAAACGGCACCACCCCATCTGCGGCACCAGGGGCCTCAGCGCCTACCAGGAAATCGGGCGTGGGTGCTTGCGTGGTATGCGCTGCCGCGCCCGATGGGCCGTAGCGCAGCATGGAGGGCCGCAGGTGGGGTGGTGTCGATTGGTTTTCGGTCGACGAGACCGGCCCCGCCCCCCCCCCTCCCCCTTCCCTAGGCGCCCCCAGAGTCGAATCGACAAGTCGAATCGGCGATCGAAGTGGATCGGATCGGCTGAAAATCGGCAGCCGAGTCGGGAGAAGTCGAATCGGCGGAACTCGGGAGGCGAGCCAATGGGCCTCCAATGGTAACCCAAATCGGAATCCCAAATCGAATCGAATCGGAACCGGAAGCCATCGAAATCGAATCGAATCGAATCGGAGGAATCGAAATGAGCCCTGCCCCCCTCCCCCCTTCCCCCTGCCCTGGTCACGCCCGCTGTCGCCAGGGGGGTAAAGAGCCTGCCTCCCATGGCCCAATCCCCCCCCCCTCTCGCCATCGCTCGGACGTCCCTTGCCCGTGCACTGTTCGGATCCGTGCGTGCGCCTCTTTCTGCAAGGTGGCCCACAGGGTCCTCCCCGGGTGCCCCTCGCCGAGAAACACTCTCAGACGCCCGAGCGACACCGGGGCCTCGGACGGCCCCCTGGCGGCCCGCAGCGTGGCCCGACCGACCGCGGCGATGGGCGGCCGCGTCCCTGCCCGAGCGGGCGGCGCAGGCCAGCTCCGCCGCGAGGGCCGGCAGCAGGAGCAGCCGGAGGGCCGCCATCGCCCGGGGGCCCGCGGCCCAGGGGCCGAGGGAGGGCGCCCAAGTGGAGCGACGGCGCGACGGCCCGGGCCTCCGGCGTCCCTGGAGGGCGAGAGAGGAGGTCCGCAGCGGGGGGGTCTTCCATGGGTGCCGAGTGGCGCAGCGATGGCTTGTTCAGATGGCCCAGCATGGTCGGCATCCGCTGCGAATGGGCATGTTGGGGCGGGAACGAGACACTCGAGCGCTGTCCGTTGGCAGCAGCGCGCCATAGATGGGTCAATCGGCACTCATTGAAGACCCCTGCTGCGGACCCCTTACTTCACCCTCCGACGTCTTGACGTTTTCGAAACAGGGTCCCCGGTCGGCTCTTCGCCCTGAATCGCTTTGTTGACGGTCCCCGGGGGCCTGGCGAAGGCCCCCCGAGGACGAAGACAAGGAAAAACCTCCGCCGTGATTTTTGTTTAGGGTGTCAGGGAGGGCCGCACGCGAGGAGGATGTGGCGACAACTACCAGGTGGCTTGCGCGGTGTGAGGCCTGCGAGGTGGCACCTGCCTGGTCTCCGCGAGGTGATGCGGCCGGCGCGGCCCACCGCGTGGAGGCCGTGGTGCCGACGCGCAGCCTTACGCTGGCAGCCTGCGCGCGAAGGCAAGACGATGCAAGGACCAGGACAAAATCGGACCAGGACAAATCGGTGATCTCTGAGATCTGGCGGCTCTGAATCATGTATCGGGCGCCGCGGCCGTTCCAGAGCGCCCCAAAAACGCCCCGATAGCTTTCTGGCACGCTCTGGAACGATGCATCCCGGTTCTATCCCCGCGCGATACAGGGTCTCATGCGAGAGGACGTGGCGGCCTTGTGAGGCGGCTTACTGGCGGCATGGCTTGCAAAGGGGCACACGACCCGTCGGTCGGAAGAAGCAGGTGAAAGCATGAAGAAGGCGGATAGAGTAGATGGGGTTCGAGCCCGCCCAAAGAAGAATAAAAGACAGCAAGCACGGATCGACTCTTGAAATAGGAAGGCGCTTGAAGTAGATTGGGATCTGGGGATCCAGAAACACCTACTTTCAACGACCGACCTGTAAACCTCCACGCGCTGTGCCGCTGGCGCGCCGAACCGCGCAGAGACGAGGCGCTCACGCGCGGCCGTGCACGGGTAGCTTGCGCGCGAATGTCCGGGCAGTCGACCCTTTTGGGGCAGCTGAGGGGTCTGCCCTGGATGGGCCCCAGCAAAGCAGGGGCAGACATGCATGCAAAGTCGGCATCCAATGCCCACATGGAGAAGGCGGCCCAGAGGGGGACAAGGAACGAAACCTGTGTACTCAGGCGCCCCCCCCATCCCCCCCCGAACTGGCTCCAGAGCCTGAGCAAGCGGGGTCGGAAGATCGACCGCCTCGCCGACACCTCGGAGATGCATCCGCGACGCCGAGATGCGGCTCGTCCAGCATCGGCGATGCATCGGCGATGCGGCGCGACCCGACCCTCCGCCCACGTGTGCTGCGCCCTCACTTGGGCGGCCCGAGCGAACAGCGGCGAGCTTCGTTGCGCCCGCCGTCCGGGCAGGTGAGCACCAGACCCCCGCGCGCCGCGGAACGATCACGACCCGGGCAGACGGCTCCTCTGAGCTCTGGGCCCCTCGAGGCCCACCTGGAGCCTCGCAGACAGCCGAGCAGCCTCGCGACGAAAAACTTGCCCCGGGGTCGGGTCGACGGCGCGCCCGGGGGGGGGGGGGAGGCAGAGGGGGGGGCCTGCTCGGAGGGCTCGGACGGCTCCCCGGCCTTCTGAGAAGCTCTCTGAGCCTTTTCCAAAGCCCCGCCGCCTTCTGAGAAGGCCTGCCCCCACTCACATCCCCGCTCGGCGCGCCGCCGAGAGAGTCGGCCCACGTCGTGAGCAGACCACGACTACGAAGGTCTGGCGGGCAGTATTAGCAACAAAGGCTCGGGGCCATTGCCGTGTGAGCCAAACGGCTACGGGCCAAGGCGAAAAAGGCCCAGGGATGAGGAACTGAGAGGCCTCCGCATGGGGCCACGCAGCGTGCGAGGGGGGTGCGAAGATGCAGAGGAAAGCCGGGAACCGTCGGCCGAGGCCACTGGGGCCTTCGGTGAATCTCCCCGTGGGGCCACGGGCCAAATGAGGGGTGTGCGAAAGTGAGTGGGGTGAGGCAGATCAAATGCCATGCGAGCCTTCCGTGGAGCTCCCACTGGGCCACGAACCGTGTGAGGGGTGTGCGAAAGTGGGTGGGGTGGTACCGCATGCGGCCGATGCCACTGTGGCCTTCGATGGACCCCCACAGGGCCATGAAACGTGCAAGGGACGTTCGAATCTTTGGAAGGTACCGAATGCTACCGAAGTCGCTGGGGCCTTCAGTGGAGTTCCCCATGGGGCTACGTACGAAGCATGTGAGAGGGTGCGCGAAAGTGGGGTTGAAAGGGTACCGCATGCGGCGGAAATCACTAGGGTCTTTGATAGAGCTACCCATGGATCCACGAAATTTGCTAGCTAGCGCGGTGCGAAAGTGGGTGGGGCGGACCGCATGCGGTCGATGCCACTGGGGCCTTCAGTGGAACTCCCCTTAGGGCCACGAAACGTGAGGGGCGTGCGAACATGTACGCTGCGGGTTACCGCATGCGGCCGATGCCACTTGACCCTCCGGTGAAGCTTCCCTGGGACCAAGAAGCGGGTCGGGGGTGTGCAAAACTGGGGGAGTGCTGCATGCGGCCGAAGCCACTGGCGCCCCCTGTGGAACTCATCATGGGGCCGCGAAGGGAATGCGAGACTCTAAGGGGTACCGCATGCTGTCGAAGCCATTCGGGCCTTCTCTGGAGCTTCCCGTGGGGCCACGAAGCGTGTGAGCGGTGTGCGAAAGTGGGGTGGGGACCGCATGCGGCAGCACCCACTGTGGCCTTCGGTGGGGTTCCCCAATGGGGGGGGGGGCGCATGCGGCCGAAGCCGCTGTGGCCTTCGGCGGAGCGTCCCAGGGGGGCACGAAGCGTGCGAGGGGTGTGCGAAACTGCGGACGGGGACTGCATGTGGTGGAAACCACTGGGGCCTTGAGCCAAGAAGCGGGCGAAAGGTGTGCGAAAATAGGGCGGGGCACCGCATAGGGTACTGCATGCGGCCGAAGCCGAAGCCTCTGGGGCCTTCGGTGGAGCTCCCCACGGAGCCAAGAGGTGCGCAAGGGGTCTGCAAAACTGAAGGTACCGCATGCGGTCGACGCCACTGGGGCCTTGCGTGGAACTCCCCACGGAGCCAAGAGGTGCGCGAGGGGTCTGCAAAACTGAAGGTACCGCATGCGGTCGACGCCACTGGGGCCTTGCGTGGAACTCCCCATAGGGCCACGAGGCAGGTGAGGAGTGTGTCCGAAAGTGGGGGGCAACCGCATGCGGCCGAAGCCACTGGGAGCTTCGGTGGAGCTCCCTATGGGGCGCGCGAAGTGTGCGCAGAACTACAGAATGGGTACCGCGTGCGGCCGATGCCACTGGGGCCTCCAATCAGCTCCCCATGGGGCCAAGACGCGGCGGGACGGTGAGCAAAACTGGGGGGGAGGCATGCGGCCGAAGCCACTGCGGCCAACAGTGGAACTCCCAATGGGGCCAAGACAAGGGTGAGGAGGGTGTGAAAGTGAAAGGGGCACAGCATGAGACCGATGCCACTCGGGCCTCAATGGGAGCTCCCCATAAGGCCACGAACCGTGCGAGGGGTGTGGGAGACTGCAGCGGGCACCGTATGCGGTCAAAACCATTGAAGCCGTTGGTGGTCCCCATAGGCCAAGGAACATGCGAAAAGTGTGCGAAAGTGGCTGGGGGCCCGCATGCGGCCGCAGCCGCTTGGGCCTTCGGTGGAGCTCCTTGGGCCACGAAACGTGCGAACGGAGTGCGAACATGGGCGAGTTGCGGCGCATGCGGCCGAAGCCGCTGTGGCCTTCGGTGGGGCTCCCTTGGGGCCAAGGGACGTATGAGGGGTGTGCAAATTACGGGTAGCGGCATCGCATGTTACCATCGGTGGGACTACACATGGGGCCACGGACCGTGCGATTCGGGGCGGGCGGGGATTCCGCACTCGGCCCAAACATCGGTGATTGTCTGTGGAGCTTCCCGTGGGACCAATCAGCGGATGAGAAATGAGGGCGCGCGGCGGGGGGGCGAAGCCGGGATTGGAGGAGGGAAGAGGGGGGGAGGGGGAGGAAGAAAAGAACGAGGGGGCGCTGCTGAGTCAAAGCGAAGACATAAACCTGACCAAACAAGAAGGGGAAGCGATATTCTGTGTCCACAAGACGGACGGTGGTACGATCGGTCTGCATGGCGGGAACTCCCGGTGCTGCAATCGCGGATGCGACGGCGGCGTTGCTGGCGCAGCGGCTACCAGGAACTTCTGGCAAAGAGGCGTGGAAGAGAGGGGGGAGCGGGAGAGGTTTTGTAGGCTGAGGAAAAACCGTCAAGTAAGAACTGGCGAAAGGAAGGATAACAGCGATGCGAGGGGGAAAGGAGGGAGAGGGGAGGAGGAACAACAAAAACGCGGGGCGCTGTTGATTCAAAACAAGACCCAAATCCGCCGACCCCTTGGGGTTTCATTGGGATGTGAATCAGTTGCGATGCGATGCGACCACCGTTGCGGACAGCGTCTGGGCCTACTCAAAACCGGGTGGGCGAAGCCGTGGCCTCGGTGAACTCGCTGCCCCTCCCCAAACCCCTTTCCCCGGAGCCCAGTCGGGTCGGTTTTGAAAGGGGGCGGTCCCCCCGGATTGGCCAGGGGGTCATCCGCTCCAGGAATGATCCCGGACGGCCTCCGATAGCCTCGACATAGTCCCAAGAGGCCCCAAGACGACCGAACGTAGCCTCCACGTGGCCCCAGATGGCCTCAAAACGTCCCAAGATGCTTCAAGCCAACCTACTAAGAGGCCCCCGAGGCGCCCCCAAAGGGCTCCAAGAGGACTCCCAAGAGGGCCCCAGAGGGAAGCATCCTCCCATTCCCGAGTGGCTACCCATATTTGTGCATATTCGCTGTTCTCGTTTTCGCAGCGCCAAA